CAATTCAAATTCTATTCAAATTCATTCTAAACTCTACTGAAATCAAAGTCAAATTCAAATCATACGCAACTGCAAGTCAAACTATATTCAATTGAATTAAATTTAAGTTAATCCAAGTTCAATAGAAATCTAATTCAATTCAAATTCAATGCAATATCGATCCAATTCAAATTTCGTTCAATTCAAATTCGGTTCAAATTCAATTGAAATTCAATTTACACTCAATTCAAATTCGATTTCGGTTCAAATTCAAATGAACACAACTTAGCTTAACAACTTCTGCATACAGTCAGCCATTACGGACCGATATCGTTTTCCAAAAATCTTTTTTAACAAATTCGATTATTTTAAATCAAATCAATTTTTCAATTTTTTTTTTTTTTTTTTTATTAAGTTTTTTGATTTCTTTACTAGATTTCGTATTCTCTTTTCCAGTTCCATAATTATTGTGAGCGATTCAACTGATAGCTATCCAAGCATACGCAATTTGGAAGCGAGCAATTTAAGTTACTGGAAGATTCCGTTGAATGCAGGGCCAACGTTGTTGTCGTTGTTGGTGGAAGAACAGGTGCTAAATGGCCCTGAAACGTTATGGGAAAAGTCAATGGTACAAACCATTTAGGATACGTAGCAGCAGAACTGGAACACACGGAACCACTTAGAGACGTTACAGGCTTCAAGTGCTGTACAGAGATGGGAAGAGAAGAGAAGAGAAGCAAAGAGAAGAGAAGAAAAGAGAAGAGGAGAAAAGAAAAGAAAAGAGAAGAGAAGAGAAGAAAAGAGAAGAAAAGCGAAGAAAAAAAAAAGAAAAGAGAAGAGAAGAGAAGAGAAGAAATTTAACGTCGAGAAAATTAAAAGCGCTTAAATTCCTACCATTTTCGATACTGAACTGTGAACGGGCTTAAATGCGCTACTACGCGGCAATTCAAAGTTCTCCTCCTTTGTTTGATCGTCTATCGATTTTTCGAAGGGCTTCTTAATTGTCGTAATATTTTCAATGGCTTTAATTAAATCGAGATCACAACGTTTCAAAATCAATTCCAATACATTACGTTTACGTTGTGGAAACAATTGTGTCAATAATTCAATTGCTGATTGAGGAACTTTAGTTGTCATCATCATTGCGTTTAATGAAGATTTCATTTCTGTTCTTGCTAGTGTTGTTGGTGTTTTCAATGTTTCATGATGATTTTCTAAAAGTTTTCCTGTTGTTGTACTTAAATCTTTCACTGTTTGATAGCTTTCAGCCACGGCTATGCCTGTATCAGTTGTGGCAGCTTTAGTTAAACCATAAATATTTCCCGGCGGCAATGTTGTCATTTGTTGTCCTGTTTTTGAGGCTACTAAACGCAAAGCTATAGCGTCCTCGACCGCTTGCTGACGCTTAAGGGCGACCTTAGTCAGTGAATGAAGCAGAAAATGTGCAAAAAGTTAATACAAATATTTATTCTTATGGTTTTATTGATAGCAGATTATTTATTTTAATATTGATTTACTTTTCTACTTTATTATTGTATATTGTTGTTGTACGAGTGTTAAACTCTTGATGTTTGCGTTGTCTTGCATTATCCTTTGGGAATATATTCGCTTCCTCGTGTTTATCTAGTAATACGAACTAATTCCCTCAACCTCTCATTTTTCTTTATCACCATCTCTTTCTCTTCCCCTTTTTCTCGCTCTCTCTCTCTCTCTCTCTCTCTTCTTTCTAAGTAAGTAATATGTAATTTTATACTAAAACACTTGTCTAAATATAACGGTTCTTTTTATAAATTTTTACTTTTTTCTTTTCTTTTTTTTTTGTTTCTCATATTTATCTTTATATACATTTGCTTACTTTCTTTGCTATCACTGAATACAGTAAACCCATCAATTTATTTACTTTGCTTTGGTTATAGCCTACGAAATACGTATTCAATCAAGGCATCAAATTTAATTTCATTAACATTATTTGTTTTGATTGCAGTATCATCGTTGTGACATCCAAAACGAAAATAAATATCGAAATTTGCCTATGGTAAGGTGAACCCGTAAAGATTTGTTGACTTTAACGATTAATGGTGCGGTTGCTCATATATCCCATGAGAGATTATGTAAAATCTACATTTGTCCAAAAATATGGTTTACATTTTAAGAGAAATTTAGCACTAAAAAAGAAAGAGCTTAGGGATAACAAGTAAGAACATTATAGTCGGGCAAAGCCGACCATTAAATAACTCATCCACATTGTCTAACACAATTTTTTGTTTTATTATAGAACACAAAAAATATATTTTGTTTCTATATAAAGGCATATTTTCCATGTGCGTACTTATAGGGAAGCGGGCTCAAAACGCAACCTAACGTATTAAAAGTTTACTCCTTACGTAGGGCAGGATCCAAAAATAGGCGTAGATGGTCTTGGACTTGGACTTTTCTGCTCTACAAAGGACCAATTTTTATGAAAATCCTCATTAGAGAAGGATCCAAAATATAGGTTGAGATAGTCTAAATTCGGTATAGTTCGTTTTTTTATCTTAAATTGCTGTTGTGATACAACTTTCATCACAAACCCTTGAAAATTATACATGTTCGATATATGTGGAGGGTGGGTTCAAAAAATTTCCCCAGTCGGTCCAAAGTTTTCACACCAATTTCGAATACGCGAAATACTGTTACGTAGCTACCTTTGCCGATAAATTTCGCGTTATACGGGGACTGGTCGAAAAAGTGAACAGGTTCGAACCATTGTCAATACCGTTCATCGTTGAGCCAAAGTGCATCAGTGTGCCAAATTTTATTAAAATATCGCAAAAATTGCGACTTGCAGTTTCAAGACAGGTATACATGGATAGTCATCAGACAGACGGACGGGCAGAGGGACAGACGGATAGGCAGGCTTACATCGATCTGGAAAATGATTCTGAATCCATCGGTACAATAAAATAGTTGGTCTACCTTAAGCACTTCTGGTTATTACATACGTCCAGACAAACTTAATATGCCCTGTATATGTGATGTGGGGTATAAGAAGTAAAATATAGAGCTATTAAAAAAATATGATTTACATTTTAGTAAAAATTTTGAGATTTTCAAAAGGAAATTAGTCAAGTCCGAAAATATGCCTCACGTTTTATAAAAATAATATCAATGGAAAAGAGTAAGAAAATTATATCCGCTGGCGACTGAATGTTCTAAACCCATCATCGTTATCCTATAAAAGATAATACTGAGTGGGCATGACTGATTTTTCTTCTATTTTTAAAGAATCATTTTGTGAAAATCATGTGTCTGTTTTAGTTTGTGAGCAATCAATAAAAGACACGGAAAGCAGAGTTGCATTGGTTGTGTAGATGTGTAGACGTTGCAGGCGTTTTCTTTCCTCTTCGCGAAAGAGAGAATTTTTAACACACCTACTAAACGGTTAAGCAGGCGGACAGACACTATTATATAATATTATATACATAATTGATGACAAATTTGTTTTATCATTTGTATACCTATTCCCGAAGGATGGGAGAAGTTATATTCATTTTGTCAAAACGTTTGCAAAGCTAGCTCCAGAGAACGCAAAATTTTTGGTTAGCATTAAATTCTGAAACGATTTCCAAATCGCGTCCGTCTGTTCGTCTGTCCACCTGTCCGTCTGTCTGTTGCAAGGATTCTCTTGCCCACACAGCGACTATCGTCTTGAAATTTGGCGGAAAGAATGAAAGTTCTTAGACGCTTCAGTGGAAGGGGACACGCCTATAGTACCATATCAACTGAGAACGCCTCTGCTTTTCAAAAGGAGTTAAAAATTGATTTTTTGCTCGTTATTAATGAACTAAACTGCATCAATCCACAAAATTTTGAAGGTATATTCTATGGGCGACGGCTGAAGTGTTTGAACAAAAACGGGCAAAGTCGACCACGCCTATCTAGTATTACAGTGACCAAAATTTATTTTCTACTTTCGTTTTGAACACCTTTATAACGCGCAGAAGCCAGCTTCAAAACCCTCATAAAGCACTGTAGCGCGCATACACTCATACATACATATGTCCATAATAAGACGATCACGCTATATAACCTGGTATTCTTTCTAGTGTAAAGAAATTTACCAAAAATGATTCGTTCAATTTGTATGTATGTTTGTATTTCCACTGCCGTTCTGAGTTTCTAAATATTTATAGTATTTTATATTGAGCTGATATAAATTAAAACTTGAATGAATGAAAACTCAATATTAGCAAAATTAACCAAAGACTTTTTCACTCGTTCGCTCAACATTGTATCAATTCTTGGTCAAATTCGAATGCACTTAAGCATGTCCGTCCGGTTGTTGGATTGTCCATCAGTCCGCCTGCTCAACTGTGTTGTATTTGTGGTAAACACACACATAAAGGTATGCAATATGAAGATATCGGCTACAAATTTGCAAAAGAATTCGGAAATAACCCAAACCGATCAAAGATCCCGCTTACAACACACACATGTACATGTACAACAAAAACTGCGATCATCTTTGCTTTCCATGTTTTTTGTGTGCTCCTCATAAAGTACAACACGCACACACACCTTATCAATTTTCACTTTTATACTGAAAATCAACCGCTCATCCGACGTTATAGAATATAAAAATTTAGTTATTTTCCTTTTTTTTATACCCACTACTATAAGATGGGAGGGGTTCTTGATCAGCGTGAAATTCTGAGTTGATTTAGTCATGTCTGTCCATCTGTGTGTCGTTTGTTGTTGGCACTTTCCTGGTCGCAAAAATGAAGATATCAACTTCAACTTTGGTAGCAACATTGACAGTTTTCGCACGCAAGGCCGAATTGGTCAGTGAAGAAGCCCGTTATGGAACATAAATTCAACGCAACTCCTTTTATCTTAACAAAAATTTGTGGGTCTTTGCTTATTACTCGGAAAATGTAAAAGTTAAAAGGCTAATAATTTCCATATTCACTTTGCGAAACACTTCTACTCCTTTTACGTGCATTAATGAGAAAAATCGACCATGCCCAACCAAAGTTACAAATGATTAAATTCTCTTTTTTTCCACTTTTTCGAAGTTTTGTGCTGATTTACCATAAGGCAAACAAGATAGCATTTTTAAAACTATTTTATACATCACTCAAATGAAGATATATCATCTGCCTGACAATGGGTTAATTCTAAAATGAATACGTTAGACAGCTCGTTCTAGCGGATTTCTTTTTTTCTTAATTGCACCAGCGATATGGGTATCAAACAAAAGAATTTGTAGAGTAGAATGCGAAAAGTACAATGGTGGGCAAGGGAGGTTCGGCTCCCGCCGAATATAACTTTCTGACTTATCATTTTTCAATTTATATTGATGAAGGACTCTGTCATTGCGCGCCGTTGAAGTAAAAGCGGTCACACTCCTTTTTTCAGCTCCCTTAAGCGCCGAAAATCGTCATACACGAGGTAATAAATAATCGTAGAGTACTCATATTCACTATATAGCGATCCCGAAAATATTGTAGAGATAGATATTGGGAGGGCATCAATTGGATGAAATTCCCTTAAATTGAACAAAGAAAGACTTTGTCTAACTGATTTTATCTTACCTGCGCTGCCATAATACGTTGTCGTTCGAATATCAGGACGCATTTTGCGCATCGGCAATTTTTATATGAGCAATTTTTCTTATGACCTCGTAATTCCGAGATCCAACCATGATTACGGCAACGAGCACATTTCGGTACACGATTCACTGCGACGGATTTTTCTTGTCTATCATCAATAGATTTTGTAACTTTTCGTGATCGCTTCACACGTATTAGATTAGACGACGAAGAAGAAGAAGAAGCAATCTCCGATTTTTCATTATCGTCCTTTTGAGACATTTTTTTTTGGTTAACATAGATTTTATAATTTCAATTTCAGTTTTATTCGTTTGCCTAAGAAGGACATGCACTAAATGACTTAAGAATGTTACAAACCTAATGCAATTGAATTGAATCAAAATTGTATCGCCAGTAAGAGTGCGCAATAATATTTTATAAGTTACAATTAAAATGTAAAAAAAAAAACAACAACAACATTAACTAATGTTTTGTAACGAAATAACTCAACATAAAGAAACATAATGGAGTATGTCTCTATGCTCCTCCCATTATTCAAGTATTAATGTATTGGTGTTTATCAATGGCCATTGTAAATAATATTAAAGTATATGCGAAAGCAAAAAAAATTCTAAAAAATTTTACTTAAAAAAAAGAGAACAAATAAGAATAGACCGAATATTAGATATCCTACACCACTTGGCCGCGGATGCGAGAATTATTGGAGAGTGTGTATTAGATAAGTTAAGAGGCGTAAAATATTCCACAAAAGAAAGTAAGAACATTATAGTCGGACGAGGCGAACCATTAGATACCCTACACCACTTCGTTTAGTATAGTTACACACTCGATCTGGTAGTAATACATCAAAAATTTACACATTATTTTTAAAAGGCATGAAGAACCGCATATTGGAGGATGCCCAAAGGATCACATGACGTAAGCGAAATTTAGGAAACTTAACTTACTTGTCAACCATATTTATTATTTCTCTCTTTCTTTGATAAAAAAGTTAGATAATAGACCATCACTCCATATAAGGATTTTCCTTTCGAGATAAGTCCTATATACGTTGGGTTTTAAAAAATTAATCTATCTGCCCTACCATTTATCATTTTGCTATAAGAGGCTTCTGTGATCCAAAAGTAAAAATTAAATTAATTAATTTTTCTAAAGGCTTAAACGAACGGAGGAACAGACAAGCTGATTCCGAATCGACCGGTACATTTTTAATATCACTATGGGAGCCATGAACGAAGACTTTTGCGACCTGACCCTAATAAAATTCTCTTGTGTAGGACAACAATGAATTAGGAACCAACAATCAAAATTCTGGATTTAGTAGCATGTCGGTGGAAGAACCAGCGAACCAAGAAACATAATACTACGACAAAACGAGACCAATCGCAATGCTCAAATGAAATAATTTAATGGGTTTATTACGCTATTGGGGCATATAGTGTAGTGTGCACACTTTTTCTTCTTACAGAAACTCGGGGGAAGAAAAAATAAAATTGATCGCAAAGTATTATTAATCCTAATATGACAATTCTTTAATAGGAAAAAAAAAAAACATAGAATACTCTTTGAAAGCGGCATAAGTCCATTTATAACATGTTATTTTTTAAGTAGTTTCGATTATGATTATGATAGATTGGTAAGTTAGGGAACCCTTAGATACCCAAAATCATTATGTTACTATGTTGTCGGTTACCAATACTTTTAAATATATTCAAGCGCAAAGCTTTAAATACTTTTTTTTTTTTATATATAATTTTAATAAAAGTGAACTTAGGTGACCTTCCTTCTAAACGGCTCACTTATATACGAAAAGGTTCAAACAATAATCTCATCCATTAGAAATTCTGCACCTAAATTTTTACTTTTCACCGATTTTTACGGAAAAATATTAATAATGAAGATTTTTTCTGATGTAACGACTTTTCCTAAATAGCACGACGAGCATATGAGCACTACTTATAAAAAAATTTTCCAATGCAAATCGTTTTAACAGCGTTCGTCCTTGAATCAGAATTGCTCAGAGTATCAAATTTCATTAAAATATCTCGAAAGTTACGACTTGCAAGTCGACAAATATATCTGAATCGATTCAGATAATAATTTTATATCAATATATATTGATGAGATAGGGATGTGTAAATCGATTCAGATAATCAGTTTATATCGGTTGCTAAAATACCTTATCCACCTATCTGACTTTTTTCTATATGTTACATACATTCACCTGAACTTAATCTATCCTTATGACATATGCGATAGCATGTAACAAAGCAAAACTTTATGTGAGTTAAATAACAGTTAGCTCCTCCCTTCATACAACGTATTTGTTAGATTTTATAATTTTATCGATAACTAAATTTATGAGAAATGGCACATACCCAGAAGACTAGCGCACATTGAGCTAATAGCTGAGAGAGGCTGAGAGAAATGGCATTCGTTTGACTATGTGAGAGCATATGAGAGAAAATAAACGTAAACTTTAACTTCTATGTTTGTAATCCAATGTTTGTAAAGTACATTTTTTTGTTTTTATTTGCAAAATTTTAATACGCTACAGATTCGACTGCTGGTGTGAAGTTACCCCATCGTGCTTAGCTCATATTTTTTATCCTTGCTAAAGGGCGAGTTATCTTCACGAATGGTTCTTGCTTTTGCTAAGTTAATTGCAAATTAAATGATATTGGAAGAATGATTATAAAGACTAAACAAAAATAGGAAATACAAGCGTAAGTAAAAAAGGAAATAATGCTTTACCTTATAAAAAATGCAAACAAAAAAAAGCAACTAAGAATATTATAGTCGATCGTGGCCGAATCTAATGGGTTTATCACCGTTATCATAAAACAAAAAATCAAGAAAATAAAAGAATCATATTTTCATGCTTTGTAATATGGGATGGGCGCGGCTGATTTTTTCTACTTTCAAATTTGCTAATACGTGTTGGCGTTGTAGGCGTAGCCTTGAGACAGTTCAAGTCATTTCCAAATTCTTTTGCAAATTTATAGATTAAATCTTTATTTTCGCTAACTGCAGAGAGCTTACCACAAACACTATACATACTGTACACTATACACGCACTATAGTTGCGCAGACAGACAGATAAACAGATTGACAATTTTAAGTGCATTCGAAATCTAAAATCGACCAAGAGTCGGTCGTCGTCGGGCGTATTCAACATGAGCAGTACATGCAGGCTCGATAGTCTCAGCATTGATGAAGCTAATGCGGCACTTGCAGTCGAAGTCAATTTGATATTAACTGATGCGCCATCCCATTTAAATTCTGCTAATATATGTATTGAGCTTACAAAAGTTGATGGGTCGTGGATGTCCGCTATACAATGTTTAAAATCGTATAGCTCGATCGATATGGTGATTGTTTCACAAATTCTTGTATAATTTCATACTACGAATCCAAAGGAGAATATTCCGAACCTCTCATTGTATTTATAATTGGAAATATGTATTTGAGTACTGTTATACGAGAATAGCATTCCGCAAACCTTTTCCAAAGCTTACCCAAAGCTTGTAGGCTACTATCAGAATCATAAAATCAATGTGAATTCCAATTCGGAATATCCTTTGTCTACTATGGCATCAGAAGAAGAATTGTTGGATGATCGCACTAACACTTCTGCTGCTATTTCGTTCAGCCACAGCATATCAGAAGACGCTTGCCGAATGAAGAATGCATATAATAAGGCGGAGGTTAGTCACTTACTAACGGAACTTACTAAAGGAAACACTCAAAAAATGAATGAACCTATGGGCAACGTCAAGAGTACTATAATGTAGCCAGCATTTAAAGCATTATTGATGATTTCGCTGATTTCGAAAGCGATCGCGTATTAGGTAAAGGAGCTATTGGAGCTACTTCAGTCTTTCAGGTGAATGTGTGTGTGTGTTTTACTCCGCTTTCATATACCTGTTATTTTTATTCTATTACTTTTTATATGATTCTTTTTAGGGCGTTAATAAAATAACTGGTGAATCGTGGGTTCAGTTTTGCCGCATATTTACGCTCGAATAATTTTTAAATTTTAATATTGTATTTTTTGTAATAACCAAACATTTTCAATAAAGCAACGCGAAGTGAACGATTTAAGGCATATTTTGCATTTGAAAGGAAAAAATCCTAAATGGTCGTTAAGATGCCCTTTAAGAAATTGAAATGTACAATATTTTTTCTGACAAAAATTGCAAACATAATACCAATTACATATGCCACTCTTCTCGCCTTAATCTATATTAGAAAGGAAATCCTTGTTCCTAGCAGCACTACACAAATTTAAACGCACACTTCCAATTATTTCAACAAGATTTATTTCATAATTTCTTAACAATGAAAGTAAGAGTGATCGGAGTATACTATCATACGACCATTCATTACATAATCCGCTCTTCCGGGACCTTGACAACTATTCGCATGTGAAGCCCAGTATAATTATAAAGCCATAAAGTTCATTGGTGTATCGTTTCATTTGAGGGTCAGAAAGTGGGTAAATTTAAAATAGGCATTAAGATGGCTTACCGTATTTCATATCTGATAAAGCCTTCACCTACATTCTCAAGTAATAGAATGTTACAATACCCGGGAAGCTGCCGATTAAAAATTTTTACGTATCCCGCACTTGATTTGGCGGAATCGTAAACGTATTTGTCATATTCCTGAAAAAATGCCGCAAGATTTGATTTGAGTTCAATTTGTAATCGCAATTACAAATCGGAATCACTCAATTGTTCTAGTCTCTCTCTACATTTGATCTTTTCCGTTAAATGCTGTAATTGAATGCACATAACTTTCTCAATTCCTTTACACCCATGGTGGCTACAATTGGAATAATTTCTTCTTTTTTTTTATATTAAGTTAAGATGTACCAAACCAATATATTTGTGGCTTATATGTCTAGATTTATTGAATTTATTACATTGTTTTTCCTTACGTTTTCATCGAGTCTTCTTTGCTTGTTGATTTCGTGTTCGATAGCATTTATATATATTTTATATGATTGGAATACTTTTAACACATTTTTTAAATTTGTTTACCAATAGTCGGCGGGGCTATTATTAGCAAAAAATCCTCATCTTGGTCACGGTCATACTTCGTCTAATGTAACGTGCCAAAGAGGGAGCAGCCCTTTCTCACCTTCTAATTTATTCAATAAAACGTCTGTTGTACAATAGAGAATGGATTAGATGGCGTTTGAAGCATTTCTTTCGATCCTTTTTGAATCTCAATTAATTTATCTTTGCTCCATTTTTAACGGATGCGAGCTCTGTGGACAAAAAAAATACAGAGAACGCATGATATCTTTGTTTACCTTCGTCTTGGGGTAGAATAAGACTCTTTGTTCGCATGCGAGTTACGAAGAGAAGCATATTCATATATAAGCATATTACTCGTAAATACCATTGAAATTTTGCTTTTTTTTTTAAGCAATCCATTGATGACGCATTATTGAACATTTGGTTGGATCGTCCTCAATGTGATTATTTCATTTGGAAAGAAATAAATTTACTAGCATTCGAATGGAATAGGCGTTTATATTAAAAATAGTACTTATAAACATATGTTTAGTTATATGAAACGTTACGAAATCACATATCGTACCTGTAGTGGATCCACGCCTTTCTTATTTACTTACGTACATTGTTATCCAAAGCCGATTGTTTGGAGGTATTTTTTTCACATTAAAATGAATTAAACAATATTTAAAAATTCATTTCGTGATACGTTCTTTTTGTTATGATAATTTTAAGGATGAAAGCAGTTTTTACGATATAAAAAAACTTTTATTGATAAAGATCAACTGCTTCTCAACTTTAATAATACTTCGGAAATTTCGGATTTACTATATTTTTTTAATTTTCTTAAAATTTCTTTTTTCTGTCTAAATAAATGGTATTTTTTGCAGCATCAATGATCAAAAAAAACAACTTGCAAAATGTTTCAATTAAGAAAAAAAAAATGACTGCCAATTCTACTCTCATTCATATATATACATATACATTATTTAAAATAAATAAAAAAGTAAAAATCACAATACTGTTTAAAATCCTATTTGAATAATCTAATAGGCATACAAGCATTTCAAAGGAAAAATATTTGCATTGTCTCTCATGTCTGGGTTATACGAAAGCCCCCTGTAAATTTATAACAAAATCATAAAATGCTAAAACATCCATAAGAAAAAACACATTTCACGCGGATAATAAACAAATTGTATGCTATTGTAAACGAAAAGTCTCTTTACCTTGTAATTGCTTTTGCCTTATTCGCACGCACAGATAGTTCAATTGTATTAGTATTGTATAAGAATATGGCAAAAAATCAAAAAACGTAATCTTGTTCAGCGAACATGTATTGCAATAAGAAAATTCACAATTCTTGTTCTTGCTCATATATTTTACAATTCTTGTTCTTGCTCATACAATTTTTACAATCCTTGTTCCCTATGAGAATTATGAAAAGTGTTCGACACCAGTGTTGGCAATCATATTTTTAAAAAAAAATTATAGGTTTATACTCAACGTTTTTTTAAGAAACTCTAAATAATTTTTATAAATTAAATGAAAATCTTAATGTTTATTATTAACAATTGAATTGATATGACTAAATTAAAATTTTCCAAAAAAGAAAAGATGTTTGCCTTAACTGAATATTCGTAAAAATAATTCCATATTTTCAACACATAACTGATTCATTTTATAATGCTTTTTTATTTTAAATAACATTCTTATGTAAATTAAATTAACCAGTTTCACAATTGTTTTAATTTTTTTTTAATTTTTCAAAATTTAGAAAAAATGACCATTCTTCGATTGCTGATTTCGTCAATTGCTGATCTTATTGCTGTTATTTCGCAACAGTGTGTAAAATTTGAAGGGTAACGACGTAATTGAAAGTTAGCTTTCATTTTCGCATTCAACTGTTGAGATAAATAGTTGGAAACCAAAGCGAGGCGTAAAATTTTTATACTTGATTAGCCTTCCTTCATAATTTCATTTAACTTATGAAGGAAGATTATTAGAAAATGGGGTAAAGAATTATCATTTATTAGAAAATAGGGTAAAGAATTATCATTTATTAGAAAATAGGGTAAAGAATTATCATTTTTTAGAAAATAGGGTAGGCTCCCACAAGAAGAATCACATTTGTTTACGTGTCTAAAAACCCGTAAGTGTTAAACACAATTGACAGCCGCACAATGTTTTCTACTTTTCATGATTTGTTAATTCCCATTAACTTTTGCAGTCTCAAAACGAAAAATAGGAATAACGATCCATTGTGTTAGTCCCCTTAAGATATAAAAATACGACTCTGCATGTGTAAAATAATTATGAGAAGACCAGCAACTATATTTGTTCAATTTTTCAGTTCAGTCGGAATTTCATCATCACTGCGTGAAAAATGGAGCGGTAGCTAAAGAAAAGTAAAAGACAGCGATATAACGCAAAGAAAACGGCTTTTGTCCGCTACTTTCAGCGAATTTTTATTTTGTTTCAACGCAACATCAACAAGAATTAACAATAACGACGTTAATCAATCAACCAACTATACCAAGCCCTAATGCCAATCCGCACTCTATTTACCAGGAAAGAACGGGAAAAAGGTGTAAAGTAACAATCTAGGATCCAGAGTATTCTTTAATCAATCAGCACACCTACTTTTGAATGTATGCGTGTGTGAGCAGATATTATCCCCCCGATAGAATAAATTCGTATAATTTTTTTTCTGTAATGTGTGAAACAGCAGATGGTAGATTCTCAGGAACTATCACCACCAACAACAACAACAAAAGTCAGATCTTAAGCCAGGATTTCTACAAAGTATTTATTTGTACTACAACTACAGCTCGGAGCTTGGAAAAGTACGAAGTTGTATGCGAAAGCAGCAACTGCAATTACATGCGCAGCGTTCATCAAGCGGCTTATTAGCATCAATTTATTGTTAAAAACTTGGACACAATATATAGGATTTTTGCCATTGCAACAAAATATTTAAACGGTCGATTTAGTTGTAAAAAGAAGTGATAGAAAAACTCAGGAAAAAAAGCAAAAATTTCTCATATATAAGCACTGCGCAATTTAACAGCTGCTATCAACGCAACAGCGAAACATAATTACGTTCTGCACAGCGCAAATCAGCCAAATCAGTAGCAACAGTTTCCGTATAGAAACGCAAAAGAACGCAGATTTTGTGGCCAACAATCCTGGAAATTTTAAAAGGAGGAAAGCGAAATTTTCATAATTTTTCCAATTGAAATTATTGCAGAATTCTTAAAAAGTACACAGTAGTGTGTCTTGGCTTTTTTTTTGGGAAAATTTACCGAAAAACTTCGACGTTTAACATTACAGCTATGTGGGTGCCACCATTTTGAAAAACGAGAGAAAATAAAACACAACAAGAAAGTTTAAGAAAAAAAAAAAAAGCCACACAACTGCAGTAAATTGAGAGAGACATTGTGAAACGAATGTGCAAAAAAAAGCTAGAGAGCCTAAGTACATTTACGTCGTAAAAAAGTGCATTGAACGAACCTTGTAAGCAGTGTTGTATTTCGTTTATTGAATGCCATATTATAAACGGTGAAACGTTGTAAACATCGTTGGTTAAGCGACCAGGGGGGACATGAACGGAACAGTTTTTTTTAACGCAATTGTGCCAGTTTTGTTTTTATTATAGTGTTTTTACCGGAAAATTTTAAAATAAAGAAAAAAAAAAAAAACGCTTAAGAGCAAAACGTGTATAACATTGTGTGATTTGCAAGAAAAGACGTGATTTCTTTTCTGTTTTTATTTTGTGTGAGCTATTTAAAGCAAAATTGAACAAGAGCGAACGTGTTAGAAACTATGGTTGAACGAATTCTAGAAGAGAACATCGCCACAGAAAGTGGCAACGGGGGTAGTAGTTACGACAATTCGAATAGCATTGATAATATTAATAACAATATCGATACTACAGTTGCTGAATGCAATGACGGTGGGAACTCAATCATTGCCGCTAATGCAAACGAACCAGATAAAAACAATTGCAATCAATTAACAGGTAAGCATTCTATGTTTTTTTTTCCAAAAATATTAATAAAATGCAAAAAAAAAATGCCATGAAGGACGGTAATTTCCTGAGTAATGTTATCAACAACAGCAATGCAAAACCAAATCATTTTTCTTCATTTAATATTGAAGAAAATATTTTTTCTAGCTTTATCTATTCATTTGAGTTGGTGGATTTCAATATTCAGTCCTTCTACAAGAAAGATCTTACTGTTCCTTAAGTTGAAGATGCATTAATTTTGTCATTTCGTCTGATATACTGTACAGCATGGGATGCTTCATTTTTTTATATGACTTTGAATCAATATAGAATCCAGAAACTTCGCCGGTTAGAGAAATCAAAATAAATAATTGTTTAATTACTTATTAAAAATATTTTTAAAGCATAGTTGCTGTAGTGTTTAATCGGTATTTAATATGCATAACAATATCGATAATCAAGAATTTTAAAATATTATGTAACAACTAGAAAAAACACGCTAGTGGATCCTGGGCTACCATCAAAAATTCTATTGATCAAAACATGTCACTGTACAAAATTTCCACAAAAAAGTGGACCGGTCCGAACCATTTTCAATAGAGCTCATCTTTGGGCCCGAGCCTGTGTATCAAATTTCTTCAAAATATACCAGTTTCTTATAGAAAGACATCAGATTGACACTCAGGCTTAGATAAGATTACGATTGTGAATCGATCGATGTAATTAGGCCCTTCTGTATATTACAGGCTGTAGATTTAACACAGGGAAACAAGACAGTATCACTTGCTGGATTGATTTTCCAAATTACATTCGAATTTATCGGTTTAATAGAAAATGAATCTATCTCAAGCCTTTCTAGGTGTCGCAGAAGTCCGCACAAACTTCACGTATCCCTTTGTATCACAATGTACAATGCAGGGTGAAAGAGGCGAAAAACTTATATCAAAAGAAGATATTTGACAAAATAGAAAATAGATATCAATTTTATATTATAACCTATTTTCTGGCTCTTTCTTAGGATTCTCTTACTCTTATCTCTACTCTTTAATCCTTGGCCCTTAGTGTGTTCGTTTAGTCTTCTGCACTGCTGTTCTTTTAATGTAAATACCTTACGATAGCAATTAAGAATTAAATAATAAACGATATCGGCCATATAATAATGGGCTCGAAAAAAGAAAAAAAAAATATACGTAAATGTAAAGAAACTAAACAAAATTAGTTATATTCATTCAGGCAGATATTGGCTGTACAAAATTCGACCTAATATATATGGCGTGCAGCTTCTTTGCTTATTCTTAATACCGGTTTTTCAAGGAAATTTTATTTTTGGTGCGCTCAGTGGCGATATCTAAATGCTCTTAAAATATTAATGAAAACCCATATAAATAAAAATGCTTACAAAAGTGCAATAAACGTCATGAAGGTCATATTGGCATAGTAGTCACACAGTTAGCGAAGCAGACAGGCAGCCAACGCTAGTCAAGCAAACAATCAACGAGCCAAGCAGTCAGCCAGCCAACAACCAGTTCAACTTAGCAGCCGTGCACATATGTAGAGATATGCTTGTCCAACGTTAATTGTAAATCCAAAAAAAAAAAAAAACGAAAAAACCAAAATAAAAAGCTTCTCTTGCTTTATCATTACAAGGCAATAGGAGGGTGCTCTTTTTCCCTCTCTTATTCGTTCATGGTTCAGTTGGCATGGTGGTCATATTTATAACAGATTTGTTTACATATGTAATTTTATCGATTTTTTTTTTTTTTTTCATTTGAAAGAAAATGTTTTTATAACAATTGCGCTTGTTGTTTTTGTTAAGATTTCGACATATAAAAATACATGAGTCATATGTATGATTTTCCGTGGACTTGGACTTGCTTCAATAATTCGATGATTGGCTAATAATTTAACAAAAAAGGGGGGAAAAAAAACTGATTAAATAATAGATTACAATGTTAACTAATTAATGGATTATAATGTTATTGATGATAACCAAATAATCAGTTTTTATTAGTTCACCTCACCTATAAATTATATTCAGTATGATATATGATCTTTTGATTTTATAATGATTGGAAGAAAAACTTTTCCTTTCTAAAAACAATATTAGTAGCTTTTACCATAAATTCCAAGCAAGTTTGCATTTCACATAAAGATTTTTATGCAACTGATATCCGGATAATTTTCCATATGCTAATCCGTTAAAACGGCGGAAATATTTTGGCACTGGATTAGCATGTTTTGTCGATAAACCGAGAATACCCACCACTGAAGAATGGGGATACACTCCTAAAGGAAACTTCGGAGACCCCACACAGCATATATATTCCCGATCAGCGCGAAATTCTGAATTGATTAAGCTATGTCCGTCCGTATATGGTGTTTGTTGTTGGCATTCTCCTGGTCGGAAAGATCAAGATATCAACTTCAAATTTGATAGAAACATTAAAAGTTTTTGCACGCAGGTTACTATTGAAAAAGGGGCAACTTGGTTCAGAGCAGAAGTCCGCATTGGTACGTAAACTGAACGAAACTCTGCTTTTCTTAACAAAAGGTTGACGGTTCTTGCGCGTTACTTGGAAAAAATTATTAAAGCTAAAAGGCTGAAATTTTCTGCATTTACTTTACGAAGCTCTTGCTCTTACTCTCTACGCCTAAAAATGGAAAAAATCGGCCTTGCCCACGGAAAGTTCCAAATGATTAAAATTAAATTCTTTCATTTTTTTGAGGTAAAGCAAACAAAAGAGAATGCTTAAAACTACTTAGTATATTTCTCAAATGGATATACAATGTATGCATATAACTTAGTTAATTCCAAAATGAATATGGTAGACACCGTGACCTGGTGGAATAATGTTTTCTTTTAATAATTTGATATGGGTATCAAATAAAAGGGCTTAGAGCGTAGAATACGAAAAGCAAAGTGTATTAAATCTAATTTAATTGTGATGGACGTCACGACATGGTGGACAAATTTTTTCTGAAAAATATCGTTCATATTTTCTTAGCGGAAAGTCAAATATAAATAATTTTTTTCCGTTCACCTTTTGGTGACAATAAAGCGGCGCTAAAGTCTTTAGTAATGGCGAATATGCAAGATTCGCTTCCAACCGAATATAACTTTCTTACTTCTTTCTTTTTGAAGTCATTTATAGATATTCCACTTGATATTTTAGTTTTCTTCTTTTTTTTGATTATCTCTGTATACTAAAACGCAAGAACAGAGAGGAGATATTCTTCGGATATCAACGCGAGCAAGATAACATTGTATTAGATCTCATAAAATCGATTTAGAATTTTATGCTGACTTGCATATCTGCTTTATGAGATATATTGGAATATTTTGCTATATCCCTTCTATTTTTTTTTGGCAATGGATAGGAAAAAACAAAAAAACAAGTAAATAAAATGATTAAAGGAAACAAGAGAAAATTGGTCGCTTATCCTGATTGCTTTTCAGCCCTTATCGGAGAACGATGGGCAAAATGAAATGATGGCGAAATTAAATTTCCCTAACGTGATTTTTATAAGCACAACATGCGCTTTGTGCTGGTTAACGGTAAAGACTATATTTCGGTCTAGGTTTTCTGTATTATTTTTACATTTATATTGTGTTTGTTGTAATGTACATCGATGTGTTCTGGATTGCATCAGTCTTTTTTCTTTTTTTTTAAATAGTTTCTAGCAATTACACCACTGCAGGCGTGGATTACTTGTGTGTTGGCGTCAATTCAAGTAATAGTTTTTTCTCCCATTTGTTATTATTGCTCCTCTGTCTTCATGATTTCGATATGTAATATTCTTTTTTTGTTTTTTATTTATTATTGTTATTATTATTTATTTATTTATTTTTCTCTGTTTTTGGTAAGAAACGTGTAAACATTTTATTAACTAAGGCTAAGAGAAATTTATCACAAAAATTAAGTTTATTTAAACGTGTTCACGGAAAACATTAACTAAAGGTACAATTAAATTTTCTATAAATTCAAATATTAAATACAAAATTATATGTTTTGCTTGTCTTCATTTCTTTAGAAAAGTGGCTTGTTTTAACAAAACTCTTTAATTTCTCTTTTTTTTTTTTAAACGTAAACCTGTTTTTTTGAATTACAAAAAAAAAAAAAAAAAAAAAAAAAAAAATTTTTAAAAGGTTTAAAAAATTTTTTTTTGAAACATATTAAATAAAATCTTTTTGTATACGATAGAGAAAGAGCAGCGATTGCATAAAAAACGTCTTGGTTCCTTAGAAAGGTGTTTTGATAACTTCACGAAACGAAGTGGAAAAATACTTTCCAAACAAAATAAATAATAAAACAAATAACAAAATTTTAGTCGAGCAAGGCTGACCTTTAGACACCTTCCGCAACATCGCCTAAGATGGCAATTCATTCATTATACACTACAACACTTGTGGTACAGGTTAGATTAAGTTAGTGCGGACGTGGGGCTTAAGATAGACCCACCTTTTATTATATTGATCAATACAGAACCATAATTTTAATTGGCCTAAGCCTGTTTGTCCGTCCGTTCGTCTTTTTCCTGTCCATGTAAAATTCCATTTAAGCTACAGATCGCAAATTTTTGAAATATATTGAAGAAATTTGGTCCAAGGATGAATGCTATTGAAAATGGTTCGGATCGGTCCATCTTTTCAAGCTCTCAGAAGCCGTTATATGGGGGAAAATAGCAATTTCTAAAATTTCTGATCAAAAATGGCTAAGTAGTAATATTTCGGCATTCAAAATTGGTGTGAAAGCTTTGGAGGGGCTGGGGGCAATTTTTTGAACCCGCTATCATATAAGCGCTCTTACAGAATGAAGAAGCTTTGTATGGTGAAGAAGTCGAATTTACAATATTTCATGGCGAAAGTGAGCTCGTAATAGCAAATTACCAAAGAAATCTACTTTACCGAATTTGGATCATGTAAGTCTATTTGTTGAATAGCACAGCATATAAATATTCTCGTGGTACGTAAACCCAAAAAGGTTAATTGTTAGTTTTTTTTGTGATGAAAG